TACTCATTGTGGCACCACAAAATGAAGAGAATTATAGTTTGTCAACTCTGAGGACAGAAAATGAGAACATGAAAGTCTGAAATGAAGCATGCAACCACTGACAAAAATTGCATCACATTCTTAAGCAATATAAATGTACTACAAGCATACAGTGGTAACTAACAAATTAGTCCAAAGCAAACATGTAATTGTACAGAAATTAGTATGTTCTGCATAACAAATTAACAATACATTTTGAAGAAGATGTAACATGAGGACCAACTAAAAAATGTTTACTAATTGTTCTTTGAGACATTGGAGTTCTGACTGTAGCTTAAATTGCTTATTGCTAGGATTATGCAATATAAGATGCTAATCAGAGGTGTTCTCCACAGTTTCCTTTTTAATAAATGAAGAATGTCATTAGGACAAAAAGAAGATATACAGAGAGTTTAGAAGATAAGGGATCCTCATAAGTGTAAAAGGAAAACACTTCCACAAAGAAAAAGGGAAAATTTAGTTTAATACTCGTAGAAAAGCAATAGAGAAGGCAATAAATGTATATATACCTTTCATCCTTCTCCTTCATCATTTGCTCTGTGGCCCTTGCAATCAATTTTGATATCCATTTATTCACTGGATTAATTATAATTTAGTAATAAAAACAAACTCACTGGTTTAAAAAGGTTAAATAAATAAACTTGAAGGTAAATTTTATAAGTTTATGAAAATATAACCTATAATAAAATGGAACCCTGTACCAAAAAAGGGAACCAACTTCCAAGATATATGATAAACCAAAAGACATATACAGCAATCTGTTTGGTAACACAGCTTAATTCTTGAGCAAGTTTCTGAATTTAGAGCCTAAATCTAAAACCATCCAGTACATGACCCAGAATTTTACTAATCAGCTGTACAGAAGGAGCATGTAGATCAACATGGCCATAAGCATAGCCAATAACAATTAAGTCTGCCAAACCATACAGTGTAAGTAACAGATAGAGTGTAGCTATAGGATAACAAAAGGTTAATCAAGTACTACAAATCAATTTAAGGATCTGAAGGTGAATGCAGTAATGCATGTCAGATGATAATAAATTAAAAAGGATTTCCTTGTTAGGATATAGGAAACAGATTCAGTTTTTGATACTTGTAATCTTCTATATCAAATCCTTCACCTACTGATGTTTACAATGATGCAGTTGAGTGGGTGATAAACAAATTAAAAGGGATCAAAGTAAATGACATAACAAGTGTGGCTTCCGGTCACCAAATATTTTGTACCTGGTATCAATAAAATGGTTATTGCTAATCCAGATACAAATGCAAATTTGACTTGAGTATACAGAAGATAAAGCGCCACTCCTATTTGTAAAGGCAAGCTGAAACAATAAAACCACATTGTTTAAGATCTATATAAAATACATTATTAAACATACATCCATGTGTTAGCATTATGAAATTCAAAAAATAAGGGAATACCTCCACAGATCATGGAAACTATTACACAAGTTGACAGTTCGGTCAGCATCTACTGACATAAATGTCTGAATTTCTCCATTTGTGAATTTTGAACGCTCTGCCAGGTTCACACATAGACACTTGAAACACATGAAACAATATATGTTTTAGTACGAAAGTATGATCATGAGCCAAAGCATAGAATTGAGTCCATGCATCAGTGTTATGGAAATCTATAATTATGACAATTACAGAGATTTTAAAAAACATACCTTCTCATAGATTAGAGTCATGATACTAGATCGCAGCTTTAGCTTCAGTTTGGAAAGATGAAAAGTATATTGTGTATCTAAAAATGATCTGGACCATAGTGGCATTGGTTTACTAATTGTTATTGGTATGTACATCAACACCAAGCTTTTATCCCACTAGGCACGATGGAATAAAGGTTTGGTAGTTATTGTTATTGGTAAATAAAACGAATCGTCATTATAGAAGTTATAAAAAATACATATAAAAATATAGATTGATACATATAAAATGCAATGAATAAGTTTACTTTGGTGTTCTTTCCATGGTTGTTTTAAGGGATTTTCTAATTCAAAATTCCAGAGATTGGGCAATTTTTTAGCCACAGTAGCTCACTGTTTCTTTCAATTTGCTTGTTTTAGAGGCTATCTTGACCAACTCTCCTTGAAATTTTAGTTTTTTTATTAGGCGTATGAATGGTTTTATATCTCTAACATTGTTTTTTTTCAGTCTTTCTTATATTGACGTTGTTTAAGAATGATTCCTTCTCTTCTCATTATATGAAGATATATCTACATCCATAATTTTTTTTCTTATGTGAAGTTTTGGGTATGAAAAGGGTGAAGAACGATAAATCAAACACCATGTCTTGAACCAAAACCTTAAGGCATTAGTTATATGAGTTTTTTCTACTTATAAACTCTTTCATTTTCCCCCTCATATCCGATGTGGGACTTCACACTTGAATAAACCCAACGATTTTCCCCTCAACTGTGGATACCACACACCTATAAGTCTACTCTCCTTAAGTTCATAATGTCCCAGCCGAACCATCTACCATTTATTAGACCAGACTGCGATCAGGTAGCCTCCAACCACCGGAGAATTCCATTATTATCGGGGACTTCAAACTTGAATAAACTCAAAGAGATATGTCCTCCATAATTTTTTTCTTATGTTAAGTTCTGGATAAACCATGATAACAGCAATAAGAAGTTAAGAACAACCGAAGTAGAGGACCCCTATAAACATAAAGCACGATAACAAAAGAAACATAATCAATCTTATAAAAACAAGAAGCAAACTTACTTAATTATAGAGGTGAGACCCATAGACATTGCAAGTAAGTACCCATCCACACTCACTGAACCTGAAAGATGTAACAAAATTAAGACAAATTTTTGTTGTGATCATTGAAAGACATGTTTATATTAGATATCTGTGATGCATATGATTTCAACAGAAGTGGCCAAAATAAATATTGAAGGTGGTACAATAAGTTAAAGTTAAAAGGTAGGAACAATAGATTTAAAATAATGATTGATATTACAATAAGTAAGTAAATAAATAAAGCTATGCATGCAAGCCAAAATTTAAATGATGGCAATGGAGAAATACAAACTATTCATTGTGGTTAGTGGTAAGACCTTGTTGAAGAGACTTGATGAGCTTATTGAGAAGCAATGGTCCCGCAAAACCAATACAATCATTAATCATCTGGAGGAAGATAAAAAAATATTTGTAGATGTAGTACATGTATTAAAAAAAAGAGTTCATTTAAATTAAAAATATTTGTAGTTGTAGTACAATAACATGGTATTTATGTATTGAAAAATACCTTGAGTAAACCCAGGCGGAGATATGGCCATCCATATGCACTACAAAGTGCTCTAAACAATGATGGGTTTGAAACATTATTACTCAACTGAGCTTGCCAGCATGATGAAATTAGTTCATGACAGGAAGAAGGTCCCATGTCACTAGGTAGCTGCAGCAGATCTTCAGAGTCTAATTGTTTTACCACACCATGATTCATTACTGGAGTTATGAATTTGAATGTCATCAAATCCCAAAAGTTCTCATTATTTCCCTTTACATTGAAAGTTTAAAACAATGAGCTAGTAACACCATATCAACCTTAGAAATTTGAAATAAAATCAACAGAGATGATTATATATAACAGTGTTAAAGAAGAGTAGATTTTCTTTCAAAAATAGTCCTTACATGTAATTTATGACATATACTTACAAGGTCACTATGGCCACCTTCCTCAAGGTCCACATTATTGAAAAGAAGTGGATCTTCCATTGGACTTAAACAATGACAACATATTCAGTAAACAAAAACTTAATCAATATTCTCTAATCTTTGTTGGTGACCACTATATACCTGCTTTTGGAAGGTTGTATCTTTGTCCTGATCACATTGATAGCTATGCCAAATGTGATATTCAAGAGAACAACTAAGCTTTCTATTATGCATATTGAAACCTACAATGAAAAGTATGTCAAATCTTTCACATATAACATATTGATTTAAGATTCATTGGAAAATAAATATTATTAGTTATAAAGGCAAACAAGGCATGCCCCAAAAATCCAAGTAAAAAATAATAGCACCTCAAGTGATGGAAACTTTGTTATTAAATGATAGACTGCTGATATTGTTTTCAGGATCCACCAATAGCATAATACATGGTTGAAGACTGCATAGTGAGTGCTGGAGAAATTTGAGAAGAGAATGATATTTGTCTACATATAGACATGAGTGAAGATTTAGAGCACGAGAAATCAAATGCCTTGAACTATAGAGAACATTATAATTGGCAACAAAAAATAAAGAAACTTACCCATATGATCAACTCAGAACAGCTATAAAACCACATACTATACCCAACAAAATGGCTATTATGTTCTTTCTTCCACAGAAATATCATGTCCAAGACTGAAAGACATGCTCCAATGGCTGGTACAAAATCCAGGAACAATTTCTCCAGAGGTGTCCTCTGTTTACTCATTGCAAAAGCATCAACAATGTAGATAATACCTCAGGTATATACTTAAAATGCAAAGATCATAAGTGTGGTTATTAAGGGGGCGTTTGGAAGAGCTTATAAAGAGTTGATTTGGGCTTATGAAAATAGCTTATGACATTTTCTAACTTATTCCAATAAGCTTATTTATCATAGAAGCTTATTTTATCAGTGCTGATTAGTTGTTTCTCCAAACGCATCCTAATAACTCTCTCCTCCAGATTCAGAAAATTTCAACAAAGCTTGATAACTAATGGACAATCAATGAGCTATGAGCTATAGAAAACTAGTAACATTGATATAATTGTTAAAGGCTTGCAAATTGCAGTTTTGAAAACAGAAAAAAGTGAGGCCAAATTTTCACATGTTTCCTTGGGTGATTTTCTAGTGGCTTCTCAAAACAAATAAGTTGATCCAGGAAAAAAAATCATAAAATCATAAAGATGCATAGAGGAAAAGTATCTGACACATATCAAATTTGAAGTATACAACAACCTGGGCATGTGATCTCTGAAGTCCTTGTCCTCTAACAATCTTGTGATTAAATCCAATCACAACAATCATAACAATAGTCACTATGTTCACTCCTAAACCTGAAATAGTTGGTATTATTAAGGAAAAAATAATTCCCACAATTTATAACAGCAACAAAAAAATCCAATGTGCTGCAAACTGAAAACTAAGTTCTGAAAAACAAAAAGGATATAAGTCTTCAAAGCACAGTTTCCATCCCTTTCCATCACATACCTGTAAAACAAGAAAGAACAAAAAAAAAGGTGAAATTCATGGGAATGCATTGTTAGCAATGTATATCACTTTACTTTTTGAAAGAATAATTCTTAATATCCCAATTCCAAAAAAAATAAAAACAGAAAAAAAAATAGATGTTTTAGTAGTACTGTCAACAAAGTAAAATAATTTAGTAGTGAAGTGTAAAGCAGAAAGAGATTAATATTAAAATATTGATGAGTGTGTTATGTAGTCTCTTTGAGTTTTGGGTTGAGTTGAAAATGGAATTATTGTGGTTGACAAGTTAAGAGGTAGAAATGAAAAAAGAGTGAGTAATAAGTGTGGGTTCCTTAATATGATAAGAATGAAGAAGAGAAAGTTGAAGTTTTAGGGAATATTGGAATAAGAATGAAGAAGAGAGAGAGAGGCGTACGAATGGAGAAAGAGGGGAATATAGAAGCAACATGGAAATGAGAATTGGATGAAAGAGAAGAAAGAGTTTCAGTTTTTGTTGTTTGAATGAGTCGCTACTTAGTTTATGGTTTTCAGTAGTGAAGTGTGTTAGTTACTGTGTTATTCTCTTCATGCAGATGCAATTCTCCACTTTTCTTATTTGTTTTCGTTAACCAAAGTTTCATTCAATCTCAGAGTCAGTGCCTTATGGTTTCATTTATGTTCCTTTATTATATCAAACGTTAAAATTGGATTAAAACTGTTATGTTAGACGATGTTTGCATCAAGATGAGACAGATATTAAACTAGTTATGCTAAATCTCATCATTCATATTTTAGTGTCATTATTTTTAAATCCAATATACTTTAATATTTTAACTTAACTTCATTTTAATTATGGTGTAAACTCATCACTCCTCATTTGGAATAAATGAAAATTGAAACTATTATTTTTACTATATAAACTCATCTTAGAGATAAATAACTAATTTTTTTTCAAGTGTGTAGTTGTTCCTTTCAACCAATTCGCTCACAGGAATTGAACAATTACATTTTGGTCATCCTAGAGATCTAGTGAGGTCTTACAACACTAAATCGAATTGGAACTATTTGATTATATATATTTATGTTTATGTTTTGTTCAAATTTGAGACAAATAATGTAGATGGTATGTAATTGTTAATCAAGGAAAGTTATTGTCATTGTAAGAGATATATATAATTTAATTTTGGTATATGAATAACAGTAATACATACATGCAAGGGCAGAATTTAATGAACTTTGCAAGCTCTTGCAAAAGGTAATTTTATAGAAAAAATGTTCTATCATCTTACAAAATCAACATGTGTTGGAACTTGTGTAGTTAGATGTTATTAGTGTGAACCTTTGGATGTGAAATTGAAAAACTCAGAAGTCTCACATTGGAAGATTTTGTAAAAACCTCACAAGTCTCACATTGGAAGATTTTGAAAAAATCTCACAAGTCCCACATTGGAGGATGCAAGAGTCTGCACAAAATCTCATGCTATAAATAGAAGCATCCCCTTCATATTTTCTTGCACCAAAGTTGAGTATGTTTTCACTTGACTTTTTTTTTCTCCCTCATAATTTATGTCGACACATTTCCGACAAACTTCTCCCCATTTCTTTCTGTGGCACTAAGAATTGGCACATGCAGCCATATTGTGGGAAGTTCGAAAACTAACACTGGTAGTTAGTTTGTGGGAGAAGAATTGGCACAGGTAGCCAAAATGCGGAAATTTCGAGAACTGACACTGATAGTCAGATTGTGGGAAAAGATTGTGGTGGGTGTATTTGAGAACGATTCTTGCAATGTAGTAAGAAATCGTATAACAGAGAGCTGAACTGTTTTATCCTAGGACGGCGTGGTTGATAGCCTGCTTGCACATTTTGGGCAGTACCACGAAACATCTCGTGACTCAGTTAGTAAGTATTATTTCGTGCCATTTAAAATTGCTGCAAGTTAGGGTAACAACAATTTTAAGACGTTTCCTATTGCAATGACATTCGTATATAATATTACTGGTCTGAACAGTTTCGACATGAACAAACCATTTCGGTTTAATGGGACTAATTTCAAACGCTGACAAACCAAGATAGAATTTTTCCTAATTGTGAAAAAGGTTGTCCACGTTTTGAAAACTGATGTCTCAGTGTTACCTGAACAAACTGAAAAAGAGGAAAGGGATAAAATTGCTATTGATATAGCTCTCTAGAATGAAAATGATTACTTATGTAAGAATTTCATTTTGAATGAGTTGTTTGATCATCTATATGATTACTACATCTCATATAAGTCTGCCAAATTAGTTTGGTATGCACTTGAAAAAATATGATATTGAAGAAACTGAGACTAAAAGGTATGTTGTTAGCCGCTACCTCAAGTATTAGATGACTGATGATAAATCAGTTGAATCTCAGTCCCACGAGATACAGAAAATTTCTCATGAGATCATTTATGAGGGGATGCCCCTAGATGAGCAATTTCAAGTGGCTGTTATTATTGAAAAACTGCCACATAGCTGGAAGGACTTTAAAAACGTCATAAGACATAAGACCAAAGAATTTTTTTTGGAATCTCTGATCACTCGTCTTCGCATTGAGGAAGAGGCTCGTAAGCAAGATCAGAACGAAGAAGTGTTGACTTTATCAAGCAATAGCACTAGAAAGAAATTTTTAGGTGTGACTCTGAAGCCTACGGGCAATAACTTTAAGAATCAGAACCGCAATGAGAATAAGGCTAAGAACATCGGCCGCAACAAGAATTGGAACCCCCAGAAGGTCCAATATGCTAAACCACCCGCTAAGAATGACTCTGGCAACATGTCTATCTGCTTCAAATGCGGAAAGTCAGGTCATATGGCATACAAGTGCAGAAACCAACTAGTGGATAATAAACCACAAGCCAACATGATTGAGGAACCACTTGTGACAATGTTAACTGAAGTTACTATGGTTGGAGGAAGTGATAGGTGGTGGGTAGATACTGTTGACTCAAGCCATGTCTGCTATGATCGTGCTATGTTCAAAACATACACAAATGTTGATAACAAGAAAGTGTTGTTGGGAGATTCTCACACAACTATTGTTGCTGGAACTGGTGATGTGGAGCTGTAGTTTACATATGGGAAGATTCTAATTCTCCAAGATGTAATGCACACTCCAGAGGTGAGTAAAAATTTAGTTTTTGGTTTTCTTTTTCATAAAATTGGTTTCACCTAGACTATATGGACAAACTTGTATACTCTTACTAAGAATAGGTTATTTGTAGGGAATGGGGACACCACTGATGATATGCTTAAATTAAATGTTGATTTTCCATGAATAAAATTTCTAATTGTATTTACATGTTGTGTAATTTTAATATTTGACATTCTAGGCTTTGTCATAATTAATAAACGTGATATTTCGAATTTAAGTAACTTAGGATTAATTCCTAAGTTATCTAAAAATGTTTTTTATAAATTAAATGACATTATTCATGAAACTACTACACCATATTCACCTGAAATGAATGGTAAGGTTGAAAGAAATAATAGAACTTTAACTGAATTAGTTGTTGTTATTATCTTAAGTTTTGGTGCAACACCCTCTTGATGGGGTGAAATTTTATTGACTGTTTGCCAAGTGCTAAACAGTGTCCCAAAGGCTAAAAGCAAAATATTCTCATATGAAATCTTTAAGAGTAGACAACCAAACTTGTCTTATTTGAGAACTTGAGGTTGTCTAGCTTATGTTCAGATACTAGACCCCGAGATAGTTAAACTCGCTAGTAGAGCCTATGAATGTGTATTCATTGGGTATGTTGTGAACAGCAAGGTGTACAGGTTTTATGACCTTAACGCCAAAGTAATCATTGAGTCTAATGATGCTGACTTCAATGAAAATAAATTCCTTTTTAAATTGAGGAATAGTGGGGGCACATCAACTAGTCACACACTTGTGATTAGAGATTGTAATGACGGGTTAGATATAGAACCTAGAAGAAGTAAAAGAGCAAGAACTGCTAGAGAGTATGGACCAGATTATATGGTCTATACATCGGAAGATAATCCATCAACTATCCAAGAAGCTTTGACTTCCTTGGATGCTGATTTATGGCAAAAAGGCATAAATGATGAGATGAATTCTCTAGAGTCTAACAAGACTTGACATTTGACTGACTTGCCACCTGGTTGCAAACCGATTGGTTGTAAGTGAGTTTTGAAAAAGAAACTAAAACCTGATGGCACATTGGATAAATACAAGGTTCGGCTTGTTGGCAAAGGTTTCAGACAAAGAGAAAATGTATATTTCTTCGATACTTTTTCATCTGTTACTAGAATAACATTCGCTAAAGTACTAATATCGCTCGCTGTGATATATAATTTTGTAGTACATCAAATGGATGTTAAAACCGTTTTTTTAAATGGTGATTTGGAAGAAGAAATCTACATGGAATAACCTGAAGGCTTTGTAATCCACGAGCAAGAAAATAAGGTCTGCAAGTTAGATAAATCATTGTATGGTCTTAAGCAAGCACGTAAACAATGGTATGAAAAATTTGATAATTTAATCATATCGAATGGGTTTAAGGTGAATGAAAGTGATAAATACATTTATTACAAATCAGAAAATGACATTTACACTATCATATGTCTCTATGTAGACGACCTACTCATATTTGGTTCCAACATTCATGTTGTGAATAATGTGAAATCAATGTTGTGTAACAACTTTGATACGAAAGACCTTGGAGAGACAAATGTAATCCTTGGTATAAAAATTATTAGGTCAAAGGAAGTAATTTATTTGGATCAATCACATTATGTAGAAAAGATCCTAAAGAAATATAAATACTTTGACTATAAACCTGCTAGCACACCATATGACCCAAGTGTAAAACTTTTTAAGAACATTGGTGAAGGTGTAAGACAAACAGAGTATGCTAGCATCATTGGAAGCCTTCGGTATGCCACTGATTGCACTAGACTCGACATTGCCTATGTTGTGGGACTATTGTGCAGGTTTTAGGGGTGGCAAAATGAGCCAACCCGGCCCTGTCCGGCCCGCCTTTGTCCCGTCAAAATATGGGCTGGGTTGGCCCAGCCCTTATTGCTAAAAGGGCTCAAAATGCCAACTCGACCCATATTTGGCCGGGCTGGCAGGCCAACAGGCTGGCCCGTTTTTCTTTTTCTTTTCAAAAACACATTTAAATTATACTGGTATTTCATGCATTTTAGAGAAATTACACAAACTATCCTTCCATTTTCTACGCTTACAGAAAACCCTTAATTTATAAACATACATTACATTGATCAACCATGTATGAGAGGTGTAATTTTTTAAACAAAAAAGTGATAAATGTAATTATGTTAAACAAAATATGATATATGATATAAATTAAACACTAATATGTAAATGTTTTGTATTGTATATGATATATATTACATTGATAAGTAATTTACTCATAAATGTATTATATATGAATAATAAATTGGTTGCACAAGGTATGTGTAAAATGTTCGGTTGGAAAACAATATTAAATTGACTACATTATTGGAATCGCATGTAACCTTAAAATGATAAATCAATATTAATGTTGGCCCGCCGGGCTAGCCCGACCCGACCCGACCCGACTTGGCCCGTCTAAAAAACGGGCTTCCAA